CTTCAGTGAGGGTTTCTTCAGTGAGGGTTTTTCTGAGAAATGCAGTGTACGAGGAGAGCAGTCAGTGCGTTTCCTCCGCTGTCTGTTGGAGCCACAAGTGTCCTCAGCCAACACTAATGACAATCTGTGTCCCACAGTGGTGTCATATCCACAGCGAGATGTTCTCCTTGTTCCTGGAAGCATCTCCTGTGCCCAAAGTGATTTACATTTCAAAATGCTCTGCCTTTCAGATACACATGGCTGTCCAGTACATCACTGGGCTGCAGAGCCTCTCCTTTGAGGCCCTGAGCTTCCTGCTGACGGTGCTGGCTGCTGCAGTCACCCCGGTGTTTGTGCTGTCCCAGCACTGGCTCCACCTGCCCTGCGGCTGCATCATCAACTGCAGGAGCAGCTCCCATGCAGGGTCCTCACCAGGGGCCAAAAGTAAGTGTGCAAGGGTTGTTGGTGTGACAGAGCTTGCACACCTGCCCTGGTAACCTTCCTGGCATCTGCTAGAGCCCTGTCTTTCCTTGGGCTTTGTGCAAAAATAGCTGGAGGATCAGAGGGGGTCAGGTGGAAGAGGCTCACAGGGATCATCTGGTCTCATCTGCAAATGTTAAGGGCTAAATATTTCTGAGGATGTGGGAGTTGTTTCCCATTCTCTGGAGTGAAAATCCTCTACCATCAGTGGACAAATTCCTGACTTTCCCTGCTTGTTCAGGGAGAAAGAACTCCTGAATCTTAGAGAAAAGCCATCCCCAGTGCCTGACTTTCACCTGCTTTGAACACATCACCCAGGCGCAGAATGGCTTGTGCTGCCCCTGCTGCCCTTCTGGCCACTTTCCCAGAGAGAACGACTGCAGTTCATCTAGAAGGCAGCTCCTTCTCACAAGTCTTTCTTCTCAACAATTCGTTTTTGTAATGGAGGGAAAATTGCCTGTTTATTCCATGTTTTAACATGCCATTTACATTATGTTTGCAATTTCATTTTTCTTTTTGGTCCCAACTCCTAACACAGTTCCTTTCCTTCCTGCCTAGGCAAGCGTGGTGGTTTTGAGTTCAACCTGTCGTTCCAGCAGGGCTGTGGCATCTACAGGATATCCCTGGAGAGCCCTCCCCATGCCAGCAGGGATGGCAAACCCTCGTCCTACCCCAGCCTGGTGGGCTCTGCCTGCGGGGAGCCGGGCAGAGGCAGGGACAGCTTGGGACAGACAGGGACAGGGGCACTGGGACACGGCCCCTCGGGCACCAGGGCTGGCACAGCGCCCTGCCAGGGCAGCAGGGCTGGCACAGGGCCCTGCCAGGACCAGGACCAGCAAGCCACCAGCCCTGGCCCATTCCCTGAAGGACCAGAGTGGAGGCTGTGCCACCAGGAGAGCCCCACGCCTGAGCTCTCGGACTGGGAGTGGTGCCGGAGCAGATCCGAGAGGAACCCTCGGCAGGTAAAGGAGCAGTTTTGTTCTTTGCTGATAATAAGGGTTTCCTTATGAAATAGCAATGATTTTCACTGACAGTGATACTTCTGAGTCCCATTTTTCAGTAAAACTCATACGTGGCACTGAATAATGTTTAGTCACCACAGACCTGTTTGCAGGTGTTGATCCTGTGATAATTTCTCACTTGTCTTCTTAATCATGGGGTTTTCTTATTTTGTGTGCACCTACATGATTTGTGTATGGTACGAAGTAAGCATGAATTATGTTACTTTATGTAAGTGAATAGGAAGTTTCTCTCCAAAAGATGACATTTTCCAGAGAATTCCCCCGTGGAATTCAGTGGCCATTGGGCATTGCAGCAGGTGGGAGTGGGGTAAGAGCCCAGGTGAAGTCTGTCAGACAGGAGCTCTGGAAGGCTTCATTAGGAAGGGCTCTCTGGAAGTCACCTAATCCGAGCAGGGTGATTTCAGAGCCAGATCAGCTCATGCTCAGCCTCTGCACATGCACAGATGGATAAGGTGTGTTTTATACTCAAATATGGGCTTCTCTCTCCATCTGATAAACACAAGTTTATCATCTGAGTCACAGCAGGAATTTGGCTGATATTTCAAATGGGACTGATCATCCCTTTCATAAAAACACCACTGCTCACTCTGTTGCAGTGTGCAGAGAAGAATTCCTGTGTTTGGGGGCAAAAGGAAGTGATGACTCAGCCTGGGTTTAATCTACCAGTCCTTGCCAAGGTCTCATGTGCCATGTTCATCTTGGTTAATGAAATCACAGTGTCAGGTTCATAGCTCCTTGTAGGAGTTTCCAGATGATTTAAAACAAAAATTATAAAATTCCTTTCCCTGTGTGCCCTGGTGCCAGTTCAGCTGCAGCCGTGGCACTGCAGCAGGTGTGAGCAGCTCTGTGTGAGCAGCTGGCAGTGACTGCCTGGGCTGTTTTATGTGCCCTGGGGCCTTGTATGGCACTCTGGGACATACGCTTCCCTTCCTGCATTACAAAGAGTCACAGCTCATCCACTTCTGACACTTTCCCAGGTATAGCCCACTGCCAGGCACTGGAGCTCCCGTGGGGTGAGAGCTCCAGGTTTGCAGTCACAGCTCTGCCTGCTCTGACATTCAGCAGGAGCTGCCAGAGCTTCACAGCTGACATTTGCTTTGCAGCTGGAAAAGGGCAGGGCCTGAAACCGCTGCGAGCTCTGTAAAAACAGCTTTAATGATTGTTCAGGTTTATGCTGGATGAAAGATCAATTTGGGCCACACATTAATAAGCTGAAAACCATCTCCTTTATTCATCATGTCTGGAAGTCCCAAAGTCTAAAAGAAGTCACTCTGTTCTCATCACTCTGCTTTTCCTACATGTGTTAAAGAAGGAGTCGTTCCCAGCATGGATTGGCCACATCCTTCTGCAGGAAATACAGGGGCTCCTCTGAGAGTCCATAAATACAGGGGCTCCTCTGAGAATCCATAAATACAGGGGCTGTTGGTGGAGGGCTGCTGATTTTCTCATCAGGAGGAGGAGCTGTAAGAGCTGGCAGGAGGAGGGGATCAGCCATCCCCACGGATGTGGGACCAGCCAGTCTGATGGGGTTTGATGTTTGAAGAGCAGGTGCCAGACAGGACCCAGGATGGCTTTGGCTCCCTGTGGAAGCTGTGGGCCTGGAGAGTGGCACCTCCTTGGGGTGGCAGCAATGACTGTGGAGCTGGTTGGCTCTTCATTGTCTGTTCTGTGAGTAAAGAGCTGCTCCATCAAAGTGTTTTCTCTGGAATAAAAGTGGCATGAGAGAATGAGGCAGCAGGGTTTATATTGAATATATGATAGGATGGCTGTAATGGAGAGGGAGAGAGAAAATTGTACTTGTCATTTCCAACTCCTGCTCGGCTGCAGTTTTGAAAAATACCTTTAACATTTCATAAAATACCCATGTATCTCCCTTCCTAAAGAGATTGAGTGTAAATATGTCTTGTCTTATTTTGTCTGTGCTTCAGTGCCCTCAGGCAACAAAAATTTCCCAGGCTGGCAGTTTGTTCCAGGCTTGCTGATTATTTTTCTCTACCTCATCTGTGGGTTGCCTCGAGGAAACTCTTTGGAGAGGCTGCACAGGACCCATTTATGTGCCCTGCAAGGAAAGAGAAGGGGAGGCTGTGCAGGTGACCTCACTGAGGAGGAGCAGTGCAGGCAGGAGTGTTTAACATGGGAAATACACAGCATCTCCCTGGCTGCAGGAGGGCTGTGAGCATTCCCTGGAACATCAGGCACAGCACAGGAGTGTTTAACATGAGAAATACACAGCATCTCCCTGGCTGCAGGAAGGTTGTGAGCATTCCCTGGAACACCAGGCACAGCACAGGAGTGTTTAACATGAGAAATACACAGCATCTCCTGGCTGCAGGAGGGCTGTGAGCAGGATTGTTTAACATGAGAAATACACGGCTTCTCCCTGGCTGCAGGAGGGCTGTGAGCATTCCCTGGAACATCAGGCCCAGCACAGAAGCTGAGTTGGGGATGGCGTGGGAGGTTCCCATTGCTGGTGGGAATCTGCACCACCTCAGCCCTGCTGGTGTGCTGAGCTCTGCCCAACAGGGCCCTTCCTGCTCAGCTGCTTGGAACGTGTTCCTGATTTCCACAGAGGTTCTGTGGCTGGGAAATCAATGTCACATCCACCTCCACCTCCTCACCCTGCTGCGAGGCGTGTGCCCTCTGCGTGGTGCTCCTGCTGCAGCCCCTGGCTCTCTCTGGGGCTGCAGAGTAGTGCTGAGAGCAGGGACAGGAGGGCAAGGCTGGATTGAGCTCCCACAGCCCTTCCCTCCAAGGCGTCCTCACCTTGGGGCTCTGCTGCACCTCCTGGTGCTGGCAGACACAAATGCAGGGCTGTCTGCAGCAGGCAGGCCATGGCCAGTGCTGGGCTCAGCCCATCTCAGGTGAGCTTCTCTCCTCCTGCCATACCCCCTGGCTCTGCATGTGCTGCAGCCAGCCTCAGAAAAGGCAAATCATTGCAGCAATGAGTTTCACTGCAGCTAATTTGCACTCTTAGGGAAGTGGAAGACGAAGCCTCTATTTTGAAACAAACAGAAAACTCATTGTCTCTGGAAAGGAAAAGCCAGGATCCTTACTGGAAACATTCTAAAAATAGACCTTTTCATCTCAAGCTGTGTTTGACCAAAGTAATTAGGAATGCAAACTGCTCAGAGCTGTTTCAGATTGCTGGGTTTCTGTTTGGGAGGGCAGCAGGGCTCAGTGGAGCAACAGGCACAGGGCACAAGCTGAGGGTGCCCTTCGTGCAGAGCTCTGTCCCAGGGAGGAGGAACAGAGTCCTGTGACCTGTGCCTCACTGGGACACTGCTGGCACCCTGTGCTGCACCTGTGCCTCACTGGGACACTGCTGGCACCCTGTGCTTCACCTGTGCTTCACCTGTGCTTCACTGGGACACTGCTGGCACCCTGTGTGTCACTGGGACACTGCTGGCACCCTGTGCTGCACCTGTGCCTCAGTGGGACACTGCTGGCACCCTGTGCTTCACCTGTGCCTCACTGGGACACTGCTTCACAGGGTGTACCAGCAGAGTCTGGTTTGCTGTGGATTCCTATTTACTGCCATGGATGTGTCATGAGAAGCAAAAATGGGTAATTAATAATGGGATCAAGGACAAGATAAAGGTCACTTTCTGTTCTCATTAATAATAATTTATGCTGAAAGTAATTCCAGTAATAATCAGTGCTCCTTGGCTGTACCTAAACCCAGGATAAATGCATTTATCCCTCCCTTGGGCCCCATAACCATGGGTTTAGTCCTAGCACTTGTATCCACCATGCTCCCCAGAGCACAGCATTGTGGTTTGCACTGATAAATGGATTCTGTACTTGAGAAACAGGTAAAGGTGTCTGGAATTGAACATTTCCACGGAGCTGTTCAAGTGGGAAATGACAGCATTCAGTGAGTGTCTCCCTGGTTACTGACTGGGCAGTGACAGAGGAGCCTTGATGGATCTTTTTCACTTTAACAGTAAATACTGATTTCTCAAGAGAAAGCTTGAGAAGACTTTCAGAAAGAGGCACTTTCAGAAAGTGATTGGAAATGTCTCATTCTCCAGACATGGAGTGCTCATTCCAGCAAGTGGAGATTGCTCTTTTTCCCTCCAGGTGCCTCAAGCTCACTCTGGCAAATCCAAGAGTTTGATTAAACCAGACATAACCATGCACTGAAGGAATCAGCTTTTATTTCAACTCTGGTTTTCATATTCTGTAGATTTCACAGTCAGTCACAGGCACTAAGGTGTATAATACCACAAAAAACTTTTCACTGTTCTTTCAAGTCATAGATACCAGGTGTGTAAAATTGTGCAAGGAGCAGGCAGTGAGAGGAGTTAACAAGGGAGCAGAGTGGCTGATTGGTGCTGATTTTGTGCGATGCCAGCACAGTGCCTGATTGGTGCTGATTTTGAGCAATGCCAGCACAGTGCCTGATTGGTGCTGGATTTGGGGCAATCTCAGCACAGTGGCTGATTTTGCTGGGTTTTGGGTAATCTCACTCAGCACAGTGGCTGATTTGTGCTGATTTTGGTCAATACCAGAACAGTAGCTGATTTTGCTGGATTTTGGGCAGTCTCAGCACAATGGCTGATTTTGCTGGATTTTGGGCAGTCTCAGCACAGTGGCTGATTGGTGCTGGATTTGGGGAAATCAGCACTGTGGCTTTGTGCTGGATTTTTGGCAATCTCAGCACAGTCGCTGATTTGTGCTGATTTTGGGCAGTCTCAGCACAGTAACTGATTTGTGCTGGATTTTGGGCAGTCTCAGCACAGTGGCTGATTTGTGCTGATTTTGGGCAATCAGCACAATGGCTGATTTTGCCGGATTTTGGGCAGTCTCAGCACAGTGGCTGATTTTGCCGGATTTTGGGCAATCAGCACAATGCCTGATTTTGCCGGATTTTGGGCAGTCTCAACACAGTAACTGATTTTTGCCGGATTTTGGGCAATCTCAGCACAGTGGCTGATTTGTGCTGATTTTGGGCAATCAGCACAGTGGCTGATTTTGCTGGATTTTGGGCAATCAGCACAATGGCTGATTTTGCCGGGTTTTGGGCAGTCTCATCACTAACCATGCTGTTCCCCGCAGCGCACGGGCGCAGCCCTGGCCGTGCCCCTCTGTGCCTTCCAGGGCACCGTGTCCCTGCAGGCTCCCGGCGGCAAAACGCTCTCGCTGTCCACGTACGAGGTGAGCTCGGAGGGGCAGAAGATCGCGCCCACGGCCAAGAGGATCGAGGTGTACCGCTCCAAGAGCGTCGGGCACGAGCCCAGCCCGGGCGAGCCCGGCTTCGCGGACACGAGCGTGAAGATTCACCTGGAGGTGCTGGAGATCTGCGACGCCCCCGAGGCGCTGGACACCGTGTCCATCGTCAGCAGCATCAGCCAGTCCTCGGCGCACGCCCGCTCGCCCTCGCTGCGCTACTCCCGCAAGGAGAACCGGTTCGTGAGCTGCGAGCTGGGCGAAAGCGCCTCCTACTCGCTGCTGGTGCCGTCCAACAGCGACTTCAGCATCTCCATCCCCGACACCGTGGAGGCGCACCGCCGCAACAGCCAGCAGCAGGGCTCGGCCCGGCCGGGGTACCAGGAGGAGATACAGCTGCTGAACAGAGCCTACCGAGAGCGGGAGGGCAGCAGCTAAAAGAATGTTTAATCTACGCGCCCCGGCTGCTGTGACACAGTGCTGCTGTCTGTCAGTTACCCCAGCAAATACGGTATCTGCTGGTTTTGTCCTATCATGCAAATTTTGTTTAGGTGCACTGTTGAATCAATTCGAACTCTTAATGCTGTATCAAGGGGATAACAAATACTCAAGTGCTTTACAGCTTTCCATAGTGGATTTTAAGTCATTTATTTATATACCTATTTATTTGAGGCACACGTGTGTCTAAATGGAATCCTAAATAAAATCTTAAACCAGTTTTGGTGTTTGTTGGCACTGGGTGGCGTGTCTGCAGGAACCTGTGGAAACGAGGGAGCAGCTCCACATGTGGGAGGTTATAGCAGTTTTGATTTACTTGCAGTCCTTTTCAGTATCTAAATCGACATAGTACTACAAATACTTTTATAACACCTGGACAGCACTGGCTGCTCTTTGTTTCACGGATTAAATCTGTTTTCTTGATTAGGCCTGAAAGTATACGAATTCAAACACTAAGAAAACGACACAAATTCCCAATTCTGCAACACAGCGGCCGGCTGGGACTCGAACCCGGGTCCAGCGGGGGGGGGGAGTCAGGATGAGGACTAGAACCCGGGGCCCACGGAAGGGTCTGATCGGCTCGGGACCCGAACCCGAGACCCAGGGGCTAGGTTAGGTGGGGCCGGGACTCGAACCCGAGGTCCCGTGGGTGGGTTCGGTCAGTTCCCTACTCTGCAAGGCAGCGGGCAGGCGGGCGAGCGGGCGGAAGCACGGCGGCGGATGAGGCGGGCGGTGCCGGCGGATGAGGCGGGGCCGCGCCGGGCCGGGCCGGGCTGAGCCGCGCCGGCACCCGCGGCCATGAGCTACGAGCAGCGCCGTGACTGGGGCCGCGGTCGCGGCCGGGGCCGGGGCCACGGCAGCGATGGCGGCGCCGCCGCCGCCTCCTCCGCGGCGGGCGGCGGAGGCGGCGGGCGGGGACGGCACCCCAGCCACCTGAAGGGCCGCGAGATCGGGCTGTGGTACGCCCGCAGGCAGGGCCAGAAGAGCCGGGACGCCGACCGGCAGCAGGTGAGGGACGCGGGGACGCGTTCTGGGGCGGGGGCCTGTGCCTCTCCGCGCAGGCAGAGCCGGAGGTGTCCGGTCGTGCCCGGAGCCCCTGGTCACAGCGGCGGGCCGGTGTGTGAGCGCTGCTGTGGCCGTTGTTTGTGGTGCCCGGAGCCCTGGGCACAGCGGCGGGCCGGTGTGTGAGCGCTGCCGCAGCCGTTGTTGGGCTGCTCGGGCTCCCCGCTGATGATGGACCCTGTGCTTTCTGCCCTAGAGAGCTGTGGTGCGCATGGATGAGCGCCGGGAAGAGCAAATCGTGCAGCTGCTGAATTCTGTCCAGACTAAAAACGACAAAGAGCAAGAAGCCATGTCCTGGTGGTCTGGGGATGAAGAAGGGTAAAGAGATATAATTACCAGTTCATTTATTTACTTTGAATTGCACAAACTTTCCATGAGCTGTCAGGAAGATGGGTCAAAAGTGATTTACGTTTATTGAGTGTACTCAACAAATATCCTCCAGTTTCTCCACATGTGTTGTCACACTGAAATGGTTGTAGTCGTTGCTGTAAAACTCTTTCATTACTGCTGAGTTTAGGGTGTTGAATTTCTACTTAAACTCATAAAACTTCTAACTCATCTCAAGGCCTACTACGGTAGTTACATGGGACTTTTCAGCTCTCTTGGCCTCTGGAATTGCTCTTCCAGAGATGGATTTTGGCTTCTGTTTTGAGTTATTGTGCAGTCTTGGAACATTTTTGCAGGGTCTGTTCTGGAGTCATTACGGATTTGCAGGAATAGCTGGAATGAGGGGATTGGGGTTCCCTTTGGTGAGGGATGCAGTTATGGGGCAGTGGGTCAAGCTGTCCTTCTCTGATGATGCTTTGTTGCTTTGGGGCTTTGTTTGGTACAAAAGAACATGTTGTTTCTTAGATCCTGATGTCAGGTTTTTGGTGGTTGGTAGTTTGAGACTTTATTTTGGTTTAATGATTTTCGCTGCAGTGACAGACCCAGAGCAGCTGGGGCTGCCCCTGGATCCCTGGCAGTGCCCAGGGCTGGGTTGGACACTGGGGCTGGGAGCAGCCTGGCACAGTGGGAGGTGTTCCTACCATGGCAGGGTGGCACTGGGTGGGCTTTGAGGTCCTTCCAGCCCAAACCATTCTGTGGTTCTCTGTTCCCATGGACTGTTGGTTCATTAACTGCTGGATGTAATTACCTGCAGTCTGTTTGTGGCCAGGCACAGCTGGGGGAATCTGAAGTTCTTGTTCTGTCATTCCAGCCCTGCTCCAGAACAGCCTGCCAAAGTGAAACCAGATGCTGAGAAAGCTCCTGTGAGACAGATGCCAACCTGGGAAAAAACATCCCTGGATTTGGATGTGGAATTCCTCTGTGAAAAAACCGAGCAGGATGCTGATTTAGATGAACAACTTAAAGAAGACTTAATGAAGAAGAGATCTGATCCCAGATATATTGAAATGCAGGTACTTTTCTGTGTGTTAAGTTGAAAACTTTTAATTGGATTTTTTTTTAATTAAACTAACCTCAAAATGTAGTCCTTCGTAATTTACTACAAAGTTGTCATGATGTTACTTTTGCTAAAAATTATCTTTAGAATTCATAAAATTCTTACCTATTGATAGAGCAGTGGTTAAAAATTGGAAAGGACAAATTTCAGAAACAGTTAGAATCTGAAATTTGAAGCTGACATGTTGTTCTATTGGGTGGGTGTCTCTTTCTTTTTTATGGATTGTGTCCCTGCAGTTATGTCTGAAACTGAGAGCACAGCACTGGGCTCTGAAGGAATGGCCTCTTGAAAACAGAGGGGGTTTTGTTTTGAAAGCCATGTACAGAAAATGGTCTTTCCCTGGACACCAGTTCTCTCTTCCATACCAGGCCCTGCTCTTGCACCTGTATATACCTGCCTTGTCATGTACTTAACTGTTGGGCTGAAATAATTTTTCTAAATTGAATGAAACTGAAACAACACATGGAATTAAAGTTATTTCCCACAGGCCTGTGTTTATACAAGTGTGGCTGAGCAGTTTGTCATTATTTTGTAGTTTAGCCCAAACTAAAGGGTGAAATCTAATAGAGGTGAAATCTGTTCTATTGCTTCAGTGCTGAAAAGATGTTTAAAGAGAAACATTTTTTCTTTTTCCCCAGAGATTCCGAGAGAAGCTGCCCTCATACGGGATGAGAGAGGTGGGTGTGCATTGAGAGAGTCTCTGTGGTGCAGTGCTCCAAAGCAGGGGCTGTTATTAATTGATGTTAATTCTTAGGCTGGTATCCCCTGCATGCAGTAGAAATGGAATATTCTGATATTCTTTGCTTTTGCAGGCTCAGTAGGTGATCAGTGAGCTCCTTCCTACAGTCCCTCTGTTTGCCATAATGTCCTTGCTGTTAGGATTGGTTTCTTTAAACAGTCATACTCCCCTTTAACAGTCCTTGGGGTGGGGAGGATGAGGCTGGGAAACTGTTCCTCTTGGTACAAGAAATATTAAAATATTGTGCTGAAAACCTTTAGTTTGTGCAGGCTTGGAGTCCAACAGGGCAAACTCTTGTGTTCAGCCTCCAGAGATCTACAGGAGCAAAGCAGGAAGCAGAAGGGTTAAAAATGTATTTCAGGCTTTCATTTTAGTTCTTCTATGTTGCTTTCATACAGGATCTAAAGTATTTAAAGCTAGTGTTGAGGCTGAGCATGCCTTAAACCCTACACATGTGAAGTGCAAATGTGCAGAAATGGCTTCTGTGAGATTTGATGTTTTTGGTAGCACTACAGGAAGCAGCCGAGCACGTTGGTACTTTGCTCAGAGTTCACCCCACAGGAGCAGGGGATTGTCAGAACCCTCCAGAGTGTGCTTGCAGCAGCAGAGCAGTAGCAGCTGTGTCTCTGTGTGGCCAGGAGCTGGTGAGGCTGATCAACAGCAACCGCGTGACGGTGATCAGCGGCGAGACGGGCTGCGGCAAGACCACGCAGGTGACACAGTTCATCCTGGACGACCACATCGAGCGTGGCCTGGGCTCCACCTGCAGGATCGTGTGCACACAGCCCCGCAGGATCAGCGCCATCTCCGTGAGTGCCCCTGCCCCGGCTGCTGCAAGGAGCAGTGCTGGTAACCTGCGCTAGCTGGCCGTTCACAAGGTTCACTGTCCATGGAGCACTGGACTGCAGCCTCCTTCTTCCCTGGCTTTAGTCATGGTTACATCTGTGGGTTTAATGGATTTGGCCAGTGCAAATGCCCATTGAGATACAAACCAATGCAGTGTCAGGCCCTCTAGAGGTGTGTTAATGAGCAGGAAAGAATCTGGCTTTCAAATGCTCAGTAGTTATTCTCCTTGATAGTTCAGTGTCAGATGGCCAAGCTCTGAAAGGGGAATGGGCTGCAAATGCCCTGTGTTCCTCTAGAGTCTTGTCCCTGGGTTGCTGCTCTCATGGGAGGAGAAAAGGTGTTCTTCAGGGCATTTCTTTATTTACAAACCTCTCAGTACCAGGTGTTCCTACTGGTGAGCAGCTCAATCAGAGATCAGCCTGATTTTCTTTGTCCCCCCAGGTGGCTGAGAGAGTGGCTGCAGAGAGGGCAGAGAGCTGTGGCAATGGCAGGAGCACGGGGTACCAGATCCGCCTGCAGAGGTGAGCAGCTCCATGGCAGGGGCCTCTTGTTATCCAAAGGAGACCATTTGAAAAGTACTTCTAAAAAGAAAGAACTGCTTTCCTGCTGGTGTTTTCCCCTGAAGGAATTCCTGCAAGGAAGGAATGAGGTTTTCGAATTTTAGGAAGAGGTTTGAGTGCATTTACTATGTTTTATGTGGCAGTGACTATTCTAAGTTAGGCTTTGTCTAATAAGTCCTGTTTTCAGCTCTTGTAAAAGGTTCTGCTGTGGGCAAAAATAAAACTGATGTCCCTAATCAATGAATTTCAAGAAAAAATGAAAATGCTAAAGAGGAGAATGCTCCAAACCATATTTCTGTGGAAAGCTGTGCATTTGCCATATGTATTTATGGACCAATTCCCTGGGACCATGTAATAGGTGCAGTGACAGAAGCTTGCAGAGCAAAAGCTTTTACATTTGTAGTTGGCTATAATTTAAAAATCTGAAGTGGTACCAGCACATAAAGGAACCCTTTTGTTGAAGCAAAACTGCTGGTGAGAGAGGAGAGCTGAGCCCTCCCAGCATTTTACCTGGGGTTCATAGAATCTCTGCTGTTTCTCTTTGCTCGCAGTGCTGTGCATGTGAGTGCCTGTGT